CGTGGCAATTCAAACTGCACCAGATCCTGTAGACGACCCCAGATGTTTCTTGCCGTGGCAGTGTGTCTTTCGGTTTCATTATCTGACGCCTTATGGTTGCCTCCGGCCTGTGTGCGGCCTTCATTATCTGACGCCTTATGGTTGCCTCCGGCCTGTGGTGCGACTACCAACTCCAAGTGGTGCGAGAAGGCGGCCGACGGCTTCCGATACGTTTTTGACGTATAGAATCGCTCGCCAAATTTTGAGGTCGGTGCACCTTTGTTGGCCCTCTCGTTTGCATAAGCACCGGTTGACGAAGTTGTGCGGGTAGCCATTTTCTCTGAACACCCGTCGAAGGTATTCTAACTCGGCAACTTTCTCAATTGCTTACTTGGACTCACATGTTCGCTTGTATTCAAACGAACTGCTAACTCAAGAAACTGAAATGTACTTTGCTTGTGTTAAGCAACCTTATTGGTGAGCTAGCATTCCCTCAGACAGTGCTGCTGTCATCAACACCTGTTATTAAAACCTTATCCTTTTCCAAACTCATTCAAATAAATGCACCCCAACCGAACCTCGGAACTTGATTTCTTTATGCTGTCATCTGGGACCTCAAAGGAGAGGTCACTAGAGTTGTCATCTTGAGAACAGTAGTCACGACAGGCTGTTCGGCCTGGGCAACGAATCACTTTTCCCCGCTGAGTTTCATCCAATCAGAGGGACGATCAGCAGGCCGAGTCGTCCAATTGGAGCCCTCGTCTTGCACGTGGGCGTCGCATTGGCGTCAAGTGAGACGTGTGCGCACGCGTGCATTAGCTGCCATCGCTCTCCGAGCGAAGCAGCCTGTGTGAATTACAGCCGGTGCCAGACTATGCAACAATAGTTGCGGAATGCTTGGCAGCGAATATGTGATACCAAGGCTGTCTAAGCACTTTGCTTCATTGCCTTCTTGCGCCAATGCCACCAGCAACTCCTCCCTTTGCACTGGCAGTCCCCCATACAGTTTTTTGGGAAGACTTCTGGCAAGTTTCCTTGACAGTAGAGATGCTGTGGCTCCCGCCAGTGCCCAACTAACGGTTCTCAAATCTGCCCTCTTTAATGACCTTTCCCAATTCAGTCTGATTATTACGCTGCTGCTCTTCTGGATCTTGATTCCACCCTGCATCCAGTTCTTCGCCGGTGTCTCTGCTTGCCGACGTCGTCGAAACTCCAAAGCTCACCCAACTTCTCGTTGCCTAGAGATCACTTTTATACTCTTCTTTATCTGTTGGCTCTGTTTTCACGGGATACTTCTCGCCAGACTTGTGTATTCCTCTTCCCATGCGGACTCCGGGCCTCCCTCGCTTTCCCGAAATTCCAGCCAATCGCTTAACGCCAGGACATTTATTGACCGAGTGAACGCGTTGGGGGTCGAATCCTTTCGGCTTGCGAACTCAACAGTCGAAAAATCGAAGGTCACGATCAACGAGCTGGTATTGGGTCTGAAGTCTGACCTCAGCCAGACCGCATTCGGTGAAATCGGGGAAATAACTGACCAGTTTTTGAAGTACACTGATTTGGAGAGAGCTCTTGCCATGCTACTGGATCTGGCGCAAATGGTGGAAGATTTACTACGTGGGCACACCTACCTCAGAGCTAACGGTCCTCAGCTATCCTCAGCGCTGGACAAACTAGACTCCATCCTGAAAATGAGTGGCC